CCCCAGCAAGATGGATTGGAAAAGTGGCAGCGTCAATGGGCGTGATAACGATAGTGAGGTTGTCCCAGGATTGGGCAGTGTTTCGTTTTGCTGTGTATGAGGTCGCTGAGTGGGTACCAACTCGATGGCACCTACTGAAAACAATAGTAAAAGCAAAAAAACCCAAAAAAACCCAACAACACTGAAACGACAGCAAGTCAGAATTGTACATCTCATTCATTTAACAAACAAGTGAATCTCTACACCAAAGGGCAATTGCAAAGTGTACTTTCCAGATGAACACTGGGTAGGAATGTCATCGTGATCATGGGATTTCCATCTTTAGAGCGCCTTTGCCAAAGTTCTTTCCAGCATCTTCACGTGCAGTCTGAAAATAACTGTACATTGTACATTTCTTTTCAAGTTCAGTTGAAACCATCCTATTTAGATATGGAACTGCTTGAGGTTAAGTAGTTCCACATCTAAATTAACACATTTTGATGTTCAATGTAAACAAAACTTCTTGAGCTTTCACGTTCATTTTCTTCTGACACCTCGTGCAAAAGAGTGCTGTGTGCCCATTTTTCAGTTAAAAGAGGCGAAAATAATCTTATCAGAAAAGCAAAAGAAGGCATGCAGAGAGAGCTGGTCAACGAGCTACAGACAGAATGACTCCCCAGGTTTCCAGAGAGGCTGACAGGGGCTGACAAACCTTAGAACGCAGCCTGCCTGTGTCTGGCTCAGCCAGGTGCCCACCTTTGCAAGTGACTGCATTTAAGTCCAGTGTGTGTGGGACTTTCAGAAAATGGCATCAAAGGTTGGCCTATAAATCTCTCATATTCTCTAGTTGCTGGACATTTAAGAGCAAAGATATTGATGGGCCCGTTCCCTCCTCTTCTTTTTCCTTATAGCAGATGGATGATTCATGGGATGTCCTTTAGTGGTCTCCAATTTCACTGTATTACTTTTTCTTTGCTTCTGCTTCCTGACAGCTCTGAAAAACAGAGTGCTAAATTATTTTGTGGAATGGGCACAGTGAGTTATGTAATTATATTGAAGTTTAATTAACTAGATAACCAAATAAGGAATAGTTGGGGGTGGGGAGTGCCTAGCAGGAGGAGGAGAATGGACTGTATTCTAAGCATAAATCCACAGAATCCTAAACCAGAACAAGGAGATGGCCAGAAGCCCAAAATGCTTGAGAAGAGAAATTTCTTTGAGAGATGGTTACTACAGATATAGAACAATCTATTCAGGACACACGCATCACAGAGGTAAATAGCTGAGCCAATGAGCTAGCGTTCTTTTCTCTTTCTTTGGTCTATGCATACTGCTCACCTCAGCACTTCAATCTCCAAATCCCTGACTTCTATTTTTTTTTTTTTTTTTAAAAAAAGGACCCAGACATTCAGCAGTTAGCAGAGGTAGAAAAATAGCACAATGGGGAAAAATGATAACACTGAGAGTTATAAGTCCTATAGTCCTTTAAGGGGTGTGCAGTGGCTCCACAGAATAAGTACTGGACCACAAGATTAGCAGTTTGACTCCACCAGCCGCTCTGTGGGAGCAAGGTGGGCTTTCTACTCTCACAAAATATTTAAAGCGCTGGACTGCAAGGTCAGTTTGAACTGCAAGGTCGGTGGTTCAGACCCACTAGTCATTGCTTGGAAACCCTATACGAGGTCGCTATGAGTTAGAACTGACTTGATGGCACTTAACAACAATAACAATATAATCTTTGACAGCAAAGCCAATGAAGTTATGTGTGCCTATACTAAAAAAAAAAAAAAAACCCAACAAAATTTCTCTTTGGTTCATCCATGAATAAGCAGGACTGAAAATGAAGTATAACCAGATTTCACTAGGGGATACAGTGAACAGGAATAGACGGAAACACTTTTAAATATTTCATTTGTA